GGCTGATATTTTGTCTTTTTTTATAATATGCATGTTTTAAGTTTTTGTTATGAAAATATGACTACGTATATTAAGAACAAATATGCAAAATATAAGCCCCGCCCACCCGCCCTGTCTCAATTGTGACGAATTTTGTTATTCATCGTGAGCCAAGAGGGCGGAACTTAATTGCAACACACTTATTTCTCGACAAAAAATTACTACGTAAGATATATTTTTGAGCATCATGTTGTTCAAAAAATACTAACTATATTAAGTAAAAATTAAAGCCAGATTGAGATGGAGACGAATGGGCAGGATTTATATTTTGGTTCTCTTCTGTTCTTACTATATGTAGTCTACTGGTAGAAAGATAAGGATTTTGCAAGTGAGCTCCACCCCACGACTTACGACGAGTAAAAAAAAATCGTCACGATTGAGATAGGGTGAGTGGGCGGGCTGACATTTTGTCTTTCTTTTTTATAATATACATGTTTTAAGTTTTTGTTATGAAAATATGACTACGTATATTAAGAACAAAAAGGCAAAATATAAGCCCCGCCCATCCGCCCTGTCTCAATTGTGACGAATTTTTTTATTCGTCGTTAGCCAAGAGGGTAGGGCTTAATTGCAAAACCTTTATTTCTCTACAAGAAATTACCAAGTAAGATACATTTCTGAGTTTTGTGTTCGAGGAATACCAAGTATATTAAGTAAAGATTAAAGCCAGATTTAGATGGAGACGGTTGGGTGGGGCTTATCTTTTGCCTTTCTTTTTTTACTTAATACATATAGTTTGCTTTCAATAACACGAATACTCAAAAATATTTTTCATACAGCAATTTCTTGTATAAAAATAAGAATTTTGCAATTAAGATTCGCCCCATGGCTTACGACAAGCAGAAAAAAAATCATCACAATTACGATAGGGTGGGTGGGTGGGGCAGATATTTTTTCTTTTTTTGTTAATATATGTAGTCATTTTTAACTACAAGAAACTTAAAACATATTTAAAATGGTAAAGTTTTCTAGGGAAACGTGGATTTTACAATTACACTCTGTCTCTCGGCTAATGAAAAGTTTATCACTATTAAGGTGGGGGTAGGTATGGGTGGGGCTTAATCTCGTGATGAATTTGTCACTCGTTGCCAGACCTAGGGGCAAACGTGACTGCAAAATCCGTATTTCCCTACAAAAATTTACCATCTTGAACATGTTTTAAGTTTTTTTGTGAAATGATGACTACGTATCTTAAGAAAAAAAGTCAAACAATTCCGGAAACCCCGACAACCAGACGCCAGCCTTAACCATTGCCTGGTTTGCCCTAGCTGAATGCCCGCTTTAGGCCTCCCCATAGGACAAAGCGGGCAGTTTTAAAGATTTAGTTATTAGCTTCTAACTTTTTTTTAATAAACTTTCCTCAATCTTAGTTATGCATCATTGAAAAGTGATAAATCAAGCATTATAATATAAAAATTTAAAGGATGTAGATTATCCGTAAACTATTTTTTTCTATATTTTTCCGTATGGTGCCCGCTTTGGGCTCTCTTCCCCTATACAGTAAAATTATTTTGGACTATCCAGAGCATTTTGCTTTAAAATTATGCTGTTTTTAAGATCTGTATTACAATATTCTCTGGAGACACAAACGGAGGTACGCGATTTATTGTGGTATCAATTCATTCAACTTTTAATATACAGAGCATTTAGTTTACAAAAAAATTAAAACATTTCAATTTCACATATCGATATTTCTGTGTCTTAAATAGAACAATTTGCATTTTATTACTGCCTCTCATTTTATTTTTTGTTCTCTTTCTCTTAATGTATCGGTGTGTTTCTCAAAAAAGTAAAAAATCACAACAGCTATTAACCTTAAATATAATAAACCCTTGACAATAAAACGCAATAATGAAATACACGTAGAGAAATAAGGATTTTGCAGTTAATCTCCGCCCCCGTGATTCACGACGAATAAAAAAAATCATCACAATTGAGATAGGGCGGGTGGGTGGGGCTACATTTTGCCTTTTTTTTTCTTAATATGGGTGGACTTATTTCGACAACAAGAAACTTAAAACATCTCTAAAATGGTAAACAATATTAAACATGTTTTAAGTTTCAGGTTGTGAAAAGAAATCTGCACGTATTAAAACAGAAAGGAAAAATGAAAGCCCACCCACCCGCCCTATCCCAAATACTTATTTCTTCACAAGAAATTAAAAACACGTCTTTGAGCGTCGTGTTGTTTAAGAATACTATGTATGGCAAAATACGTATAAACAACGCCCACCCACCACTCGGAATCTTAAGACTCAATTCTTTTTATACCACAGCAAAGTAGGTACCCATATTTATCTTTTCACAAAGTATTATAAAAAATTGGTCAAAGGTTAACTCCACAGAACTTACCTCCCTCTTGAAATACAGTCCAACAAATTCTGCTTTTTTGAAAAATTATAATTTTTGTTTTCTGACAACCTTTATATTTATTCGTATATTAAAAACTGATCTCGAACCACTTGCGCTGCGGGGTCGCAAATTTCTATGAGATACGGACAATACGAAATATATTTCAAGCAAATAACCAACAGAAAAGAGTGTATTATTATCAGTGTACATGCTTAATTTCGATTGTTTATGTGTATGCATCGAAAGAATGTCACGTAGATATTTGTTTAATTTGAATGAGTTGTTTCCTCAAAACAGAGGACTGAAATTATTAATTAAGCCACAATGGAACAAAATGTGTTGAATATCATTATTATTATTCTTATTTGATCATAATTAAATAAAGACGTGGGTGTCCTCACATTTTCTAGAAATGATTCTTAATTTGATCAATAAAAAATTGGTCGAAAGTGTAAGTGCAATCCGACAAATCCAGCTATTTAAAAAATATGTATATAAATTTAATTTAATCGGCAGCTCAAGAGTTTATTTATGTTTAAACATCGAAACAATGTCACGAAGAAATTAATTTGATTTGAATGAGTTTGTCTTCTCAAAACATAATTTATCGAAAAAACTGAAAGCGGATTCGCACACTACAAGTATAGCAGTATTTTAAAATACAATTCATTGAAATGACGTCATCAAACTGGTGGTGGGGATGATTATCCAAATTTCCATCTACATGATATTTCTAATATACACACAAAATTTGACAACAATTGGTACAGCAGTTTCGGACATTAAATCTGTCCAAAAAGATGGATACAGACAGACAGACAGACAGACAGATAGACAGACAGACGGAAACGGGAGACTACTTTTTTCGTACTGTAGGGGTCATGGAACTGTCCGATGGACTCGATTACTATACTTCCTTAGCTTACGTTCGGGAAGCAAAAAGATTTTAAAAATAATCCTAAAGCAATTTTTAACCCTCCAATTCTAAAAAATTTTAAACAAGTTGGCATAACGTGTCAACGTCACATCGGAATTAAAAAAATAAACTCTAGTTACAAATCCTACGAAGGAGTCAATCAAAATATCTAAAAATATATACAGTTCATCATATTTTTATCCTATAACAGTTATAAATTGGTAAAATTTATTTTTCTAATTTTTCGAAAAAGCTTGTTCTCCTGTATTTCATTCAGGGGCGAGGGAAGTTTTGTCGTAATTTAATTTTTATGAAATTTGTCAAAATTTCAGTTTTTGTACTTGACGCAATAGTTTAATATTATTATTATTATTATTAATAGTTAAAATTCACACACGCTATTGTTTTAACCATAGTTTAATTTGGCTCTTCAGTTATAGTCCTGGCAAATAGAAGTGGCATCAAAAATTAAGTCTGCCACTTCTATTTGCCACGACTATACTATAAAGAAAGTGGTTCACCCTTAAAAGTTTTCACGACAACTAGTAATACAAATCGGCGCTATTTGAAAAATCAAATAAGAAAAAATGTAATCAAAAATGCGTTGAGCAAACAAGAAAATTAATGTACACTTTCAAATAACACATTTCAGATTCCAAGAGTCTACTAGATAATAAAGGTGAATTTTAAATATAATTATTATTTAGAAAGTTTAGAGATCTTCAAAAATAAATACAGCGTTTAATTCTGATGCAGGCATTCGAATAATTTTTTATTTCTCAACCATCATACCACCATAATTAGTTTTCTTAATTTTTAACGCACGTATCTACTTAAGTTAATTAAAATTAAAATCGATATAAATTTAATAAGCATCATAAATTGAAAAAGCCTGATCCACCGCTAGCTTTACTGTTTCGGAGAATACGTTCCTCTCTTAAGCCAATTTTTTTTTTAATTTACGTGCATGCTCCTTATCATTCAGGGTACCTAATTAGTACTTTTTTTCAACTTGAAGTTAACCATGTAGTGGCATGCTAGCAATTAAATGCAGAGTTTGTACTGTTGTAGATGTGTATCGTCGTAATGTTAATAGGACGTTAAAAAATTAATTACAAATAAGGGAAACTGCATATTTTATTATTTTATGTTAACAGGTTGCTAGGTGGTCTGAGGTATCTTCATTCATGATTAAAATTTTTTTTATTTTGTATTTTAACTGTCAAAATTTGTTCACTTCATTAAATACCAGCAGCCAGGAATCCGTTCTAAAATCCATCACTCATTTGCATAAGCAACAGTTGACACTGCTGAATATCCCAGTATTTATTGAGTGTTTGCTGGTGATTCTACAAGCAGTACCTAATAAATAATGTATAAACACCTTTTAAGTACAACTGTGGATGAAAGAGCAAACTTTACAGTTACAAATTGAATTTTTGGCGGAGGATTTTCGCCGGAGCAGAAGATTCAGCGTGTGTGGCGCAACAAAGTTGTCGCTGCCCGCATTTAACGGAAAATGGAACACAAAAAAGAAAAATGTATCCATTAGTTAACCTGGGTAGTAATGTAAGCATGTACATTTTTATTAAGTCGACACGCAAATAAAAGGTGGCGTTGTAATCTTCTGACTGTGATCACCATAAATTTGCATTAATACATAAGAAAGTCATCGTTTAAGACTCACCTTCAAAAGCTTGACTGGTTTTGCTAAATGACATCAAACCTAATGATCGGAGGTGTCTCGGAAGAACTATACGGACAGTTACACACCATTAGTTTTAATGTCGGATCTGGAAAAAAAGGCATTTTATAGTACAACTATAACCAAATCACTCGTGTGTGATATATTACTGTCATTACTTTAAAATGGCTTGTTATATTGTTATTAGCATGAATTTTTTTAAACCTTGATGGTGGTCGAGTTTATAGACATGTACAGGATGGTTGAGGCTGATTGTTTTGTTTTCCGCGATTAAAATGTCAAAAAATTTTGAAAAACTGTCAATTTTGAAAATTTTAAATGTGTTGACAATTTTTGAAAGTAATTCCTCTTTGTACTAGTTGATTTAAAACCTTTATAAGCGTTTTTTGTTATTATTTTAAAAAATGAAAAAATCGATAAATCTGAAAAAGAACAAAATTCGGAAAACATCGTGGTGTTATGTTTGTTAATTTAGTATGATATCAACTCTTTAAAATAAAATAACAATATGTATAGTTTTGGAAATTTCATTATACCCTATAAAATTTTGTTGACAATAACGAGACGGACAGTAGTACAATGGTAAGAATTATTTATGGCTCATACCAGTGCATCCGAATTTGTCGGAGAACGTTTAGCAGATAGTTGTACTCATAAAATAGTGGTCATTTTCGTGCGTGAATAGCGATGGTCCCTGTCCGGACCTGGACTATTCTCCTTTCTAACATCTGGGAATTACCGGCACGCGACAAATTTAAGTTGTAAATATCTCTTGCTATTGTACAACTGTTCGCCTCGTTATTGCCAATAAGATTTTACAGAGTAGAAAAAATAATCCAAAACTATACTTTGTTCGTATCACTTGTACAAAGTCAGAAGTTTCGTCCTGTGTCATTTTCGTCAGTTTTTTCGATTGTTTACTAGATCAGATTGATGTATTATTAAAAAAAATACGATTTCCCATCTAAAATATCCCCGTAATACATTTATTAAATACAGATTCATTATTGTTAAAAAAACACTCTATTGTTTGGTTTAAAATATTGTCTCAAAAAGTTCTCGTTTTTAATTTAAAATTTTCTGTTATTAAACCAGGAAATGTTTATTCTTGTGGATTTTATTCTACGTAAGTGTTTAGGGATTATGGAAACCCGCAGTGAGGAGGCGGAGTAGTCTAATATACTTCGCTGCTGGGTATGTTCTGATAAGTTACGTAGATACAAATAAAAATAAAAGAATTTGTTTCTTACTAACTCGAATTTACTCGTGGACTGAATTGACTGAATCCTCCTATACCTATACGTTTCTCTCGATGGATCGAGAACGCCGTTTCGAGGGTTTTCTGGGCCCGTTGCGACATCCGCTTCCAGGCTTTCCTTTAGCGAACACCGCGCCGAGCAGTCGATGAGTCATACTACATACTAGAAGAAACACATACATACTAGAAGACCCATAGGCGTCGTACCGGGGCGGCGTATGGGTTTATTTCGTCACAATACATTCATAACAAGTATATTTACCTATCTACGAAAAAGCATTGAATTTTATTCACATTCTTATAAAGACAATAAATTGCAGATAGATAAAAATATCTATTTATATTTTTCTTAATAAAAACCTAATAATAACCAATAATATTGTGTCTGCCGAGTCCACCTTAGGGACGAGTTTAATCGCTCTGTCTACAATACTAGACAATTTTTAGAGTTGGCCAATTTAGTAAAATATGCCTTTGTTTTATTAGATATAGAAATTTACTTCAGCCATCTGTACTTTTTTTACATAACAGAGCAACAATTTGCATAATTTGTTATTTAAATAAATATAAATAAATAGTTAAATAAACAAATATAGATTTATTTGCCCAATAGAATAATTTCATTCAGAGGAGAAATTAATTACAGTTCTTTACCAATAATAATACAAAATAAAGGAAAAATATTAAATTCCTTAAATATATAAATTCAGTAGCTACATTTGCAAAATATCATAATTTAATAGATTTATATTAACCTAATTTTAACGTAAGTTTAATTCTAATATTTCAAAAGAATAAGCAATTAATTGACGGCTTGCAGCAAGTAATTTTAAAACAACAAGAATGTTCCCTAATTCCTGGTCTTTACTATATCCATTTTTCGCCTCGTTGTAACGTGAGGATTATGATTATTAATCATAATATTTTACGAGCTACGAATAAAAGAGACAGAAAATACTTTGTAGACCTGAATGTACAAGTGTGTTTTCTTTCAGAATTTTTTTTCTTATATTAAATTATAATATAAATATATAAAAATGATATATAACCACAATCCAGAGCTTTTTGAACCTTTATTACTGAAATTAAAGATTGCCCTTAAAAAGATGTGTTGAATAAGCAATTTATTGACGGCTTGCAATAAGTAATTTTGAAACAGAACAAGAATGTTCACTAATTCCTGGTCTTTACTATACCCATTTTTCGCCTCGTTGTAACGTGCGGATTATGATTATTAATCATAATATTTTACGAGCTACGAATAAAAGAAACAGAAAATACTTTGTAGACCTGACTGTATAAGTGCATGTTTTCTTTAAGATTTTTTTTCTTATAATAAATTATAATATAAATATATAAAAATGATATATAATCACAATTCAGAGCTTCATTACTGAAATTAGAGATGTGTTATAAGTGTGGCACATATTTTAAGTTTCCACTACAGAATAAAAACAATGGCGTTCACACAATCTCAGTTTATTTATTTTTAAATTAACAAACAGCAGTTTTTATTCTAGTTGACGAAAAGCATCTACAGTTCTTGTAATTTTGTACTTTTGGTGTAAATATAATCCATTTTCTTTGACTTCTTAGCTTTGAAGATGGCACTAGAGAGTGCTGAAACCTTGCATTTAAAAAAGATGTGGCGGCATTCGAATTTTTTGTTTATTAATATCGTGGCAGCTTTATGCAAAATGACAACAGAAATACTAAGTAATTATGTATTAGCTAATTTTTTAAAATGTTTGAAAAATGGTCGAAAATATAAAAAATGTCAAAATCAGTCTTATCACTCTAACCGCCCACCCTCCCTCTATTTTCTTAGAAGGTATGTAATTTGCCAAAATCAGTTTTTTTCTTAGCAAGAATAAGTGGCCCCGCCCACCCACCCTCTTTTTTCTTAAAATGTTCGTCATTTTCCAAAATCAGTCATATCTTGGCAAGTACTAATAGAGTAGTAATAGATTTTAATTTGTTTTTAAGACAAAAATAACTTTCAAATTGATGGTAATCTGACAAAACGAAAATTCTATTAAAGACAAACGTTCGAAAACCCAAGGCTGTCTTTGATAACGTTTTTTGTTGCTGTGTCAGTAGAAGGCACCTTTTATGGCAAATTCATTGCAAATTTGTTATACGGATTGGAAATAGACTAAAAACGCCGTTTGAATATAAGTATAGTAAGCTCACTTGGCATATACCTAGTAAAACTTTTATGACTTAAGCCAAACTATTATCACCATAACGGACAATATGTATTTAATAATTCTTGCGGCTCGGGAATATAATGCACATAAGTCATAAAATTTTAATAGGTACATGTCAAAACTGAGCTAAGAGTAAACAGTATTTCGAAAGGGTTGCCGACGCAGTAGGTCATGATTATGCACACCCGCCTTTAAATTTAGTTACAGAAAACTAACTAGATGTCAATTTTATCAGTTTGAGGTTATGATTTAAAAGAAACGAGAAGTAGGAACTGCAAACTGTCTCATTTTCCCCTTCATTTAAAAACGAGATTGCTTTTATTATAAAAATTGTAAGAAATTCGTAACTTTAAAATTACTATATATATTTGATGTATAGTCGTCCAGAGACTCTAATTTTCTGAATGGCAGGGACCGATTATTATGCTATCAATTACTCGTTTTTGGTCTGAAGTTCTACTATACTATATTATGACCTTCTTTGTTGAGGGTGTTGACAGCATAACAATAAGATATATATATAACTTTAAAGCTTATGGACGACTATACTGTCACAATTTTCACAGCATCTGTACAAAGAATTATCTTCAGAAATTCGGAACCGATTACTATTTTCTATTACACAACATTTTATATCAAAACGCTAAACAAAATTTGTTCATCAAGCCCTAACACAAAATTGGTGTAAGGATATTTAGAACTTCCCTCGCCTCTGATGTAGTCCAGAAACTCCACCTACTTCTAAAAATGATAAAAGTGCAATTAAATAAAACCAGTTACCTACAAACTAATGTATCATAGTCTCTGAATTCGTCCACGTATCATTTAATAACCCCATACTCCGCCACTACCTTTGATTCGAACGCATAATGTTACGAAAACACACTTTGTCGACTTTTGTACATCTGTGATAGTAAACGCAAACTTGATTAACCATAGCTTAAAAAATATGAATGATATGCCTGTGTTTCTAGTGAGTTTACTTACTGGAAAATGTTCCGATCAACATAGCAAATACGCGTGGATTACCAATAATAAAAAAGTACTGTTCTTGCAAAAACAAGACGGATTCATGAAGCACAAGTACAGGCGTATATTATTTTATAAATTTGAAATGACTAAGCGAAATTTTAACGCAACGTCATTACAGTGCGGATGCTTAAACAAATTTTGGTTAGAGTTTTACCATCTACATGATATTCCTAATACACGTATAAAATTCGACTAGAATCGGTCCGGAAGTTATGCAGATTATCTCTCTAATAAAAATCGACACAGATGTTTGTAATATAGGGTCACAAAATGTCCTGGAGCATGAAGTCCTGGAACCGCTGACCTCAGAGTTGAATATGTCCATCGCTGAATGGAAACGGGAGACCTATTTTTTGTACTCTATGGATGATGAAACGTCGAGAATATAAAAATGCGCCTTAATAAGTGTCGAGCAGTAACGGAATCAATTTACAATTTTTTTTTAATTATTTATGTAAGTGCCTTTTTTCTTTCCTGTAACTAGTATACGACATTTTCAATATATCATGTACATCACACGTGACCATGCTTGCATTGTTAATTATACTGAATTAAACAATTTCCTTTTTATTTATGTCAATCAATCAAGTTTTTTTGTATCCCTTGGGCTCTGAATAGGATACATTATTTATAATATTAACAATTGGAATTCATTTCAAATATTTTCCTTTCTTAGCTTTTCACTTGCATTATTTGCAGTCCTTGATTTCATTTAATTTATACATAATTTTAGATAAATTATTAATTTTTAGTACGTTCGGTTGTATGACCGTTCAGATAGTCGTGTTACAGTAATAAAATAAGAACCTTTGACTAAAGTTATAAATCGTAACGTAAATTATTAATAATGGATGATATCTGACAACGGGGAATTGTACAACCTAACCTCACTTTAACAACTTTAACGCCACCTTGATGATTTTTCTATTATTTGCATTAAAGTACGTATTTACAAACATTACAAATCCATGTTTTATTTTCGAAGTCGAACAGTGAATTGTGTAAATTTTACGGTTTACTCTTACGTGGTTCAAGGTGAAAGCCAGGCAGGGGAGAGTGGAATTGTTTGGTAGGTTGACCGTAAATCTTTTTAATACAGATATATGTTATCCTATTTTTTGTTTTATAAAACAACTAAAATCGTTTAATAGTTTTTTTTTTATTTTCAGTACTATCACCAGACTTTTTAGGCAATGACTATATTATTTGACGATACTTCCAGCACGATGAGTCGTTGCTCATTCTGCATACAGGTGCACGTCAATTTTTTTTGTGTGGTAAAACTGGTTGTCAGCATCAGTTTGCTCCGTTTTCCCTTATTATCCCACCAAAATGTTCATGATGTCAATTTAAAAAGTTGTTTGGTAAACCTTGCGGTCCAAGAAAATAATGATGCAAAAACGAGTCAATTTCTTTTAGTTCTGCGAAGCGTACTGCACTGTTTTATTTGTGTTTATTTTAACTTAGTGTTAAAAGGTATAATTAGCAAAGTTTAGGTTTAGATGTTTCATTTAAAGTGAAGACTCTTCTTCGGACTCCTGACCTTTTCGCTCTCTGAAAAATCCTGCTGAAACGGCCAATTCTCCTCCTCGTTTTCCATCACTTGTAAATCAGACGAAGGAAATAAAAATCGCAATCGCCGCAAACAGTGTATTAAAATTCATCGTGTTTCTCTCAGTTACACGCAATCGACGTTTTTGCCGACTTCCTGCTGAACTGCACTCTATATTTCCAACCAGTATATCGCTTATTAAAAATCAGCTCGCTAATTATACGGACCGGTTGGATAATTTCTTTTTTCTACTCTTGTTCTTGCACCGTTCTAATTAAATTTGATCGAGCGACTAACTCTTGCGGAAAAATGGAACTATCTCGTTGTGATTAATTAGAGAAATTATCCGAGAGCTTAAAAACGGCGAATTTCTCGCAAAAGCTCCATGTTTAATTCATGAGCCGTTGGACACTTTCAACAAAACGACGATTGTGCAGTTAATTACCGTCGAGACCCCTTTTTTGCGAAAACGTCAATATGTGAAAAAGCGTGTCTGTTCAGCAACCATGAAGTTCTTGATTGAATTTCGCATCGCACAAGGCGCAAAGGTCGACCTGTGTTTATGCAATGAATCATTTCAGAATTATGCTAATTTTTGCCGGCACCCCGTATTTAAAATCGTCATGTGTGCCGGGTTTCGCTGGGAGATTGCGGAGTGGAAGTTTCCGAAGAAGTCAGCATTTTCAATTTATTCTAACAAGCGAGCTATTATTGCTTCTATTGTTGACTGGTATATTAGACGAGGCTGTTGGGATTGAATCATTTCATGCTGCTTTTACAATTTCTAGTTAAAAATAAATTGATTGTTGGATAGAGGGGCGTGCGAACTTTGATTTTTGGATTACTTACTTGATTCAGATTTAATTTGTTGCTTTTATGGAGCTTGAGTAAAACGTGTATTTGCTTGGGTTTTTTTTCTCGAAGTACTATTATAATTGCGAGAGTACTGTTAAGGAAACTAGAAATTCTAAAACTAACAGGATGTGCAATAACGGAGCGAAAAGAAACTGATTTAAATTTCTTTAAACGTACTACGAGAATGCAAAAACTTAAAAACTGGTCTAAAGGCATTTAGATTGAACTTCCCTAGCCTGTAAAGCAATCAGTTCTGCATGCACGTTGCGAATTCTTTTATCATTTTATATTCTATTTAATGTTGATTTTTTATCCAAACAAACAACAATTGTTGTGCAATTCATTAATAGGATTTACGTTTCGTTAATATGCGACTTCCTGATTTCCTCTTAATGCTATCACTTTCACGATATAATTTTATACATAACTGAGTATCCTTCCTAGTAAATACATATATGGGAACGAGGGATACATCACAACAAGACATGTATTTTTTATATTATATTCTTAGAATACTAAAATTATGATTTACTTGAATTAAGCAGCAACACCAGAGAATTTTTCACAAAATTTCATGTTTTATCACTTGATATTTTACTCTTAATACTTTTCACCTACGAGATGTTGGCACACGTCTACAACATAAAGTTTTAAAAATAAAATGAGCAGTTGGTCTAACTGTGTCCGCTAAGTAATGGAAGAGCAGAAAATTTATAGAGAGCGATTAATACTGAAATTATTTATTGATTTATGTGACGACGGTGGTGATGACAGCAATTATTTCCTAAGCGATTGATATATGCATCTAAATAACGTATTGAAATCGTACTTTTTATTTAATGAAAAACAAAATTTGTTACCTAGTTTTATGTTGATGTATTCAATAATAACCGTCATTTCGCTACATTAGTGAATGTAAAAATAAACTCAAGTACGGTCCTGCAATGCTGATGACAATACTCCGTTAGTTAATATTTTTATAGCCCCTTGAGGTTAAGAAGTAATAAAGATTTGTGAAAGTGTGCAAGGAGTGTGATTACCTTTAATATTGTAGTTTTTTGATGAAAATTTTGTCGTTAAAAATTTCAGTGGTTGTTAACAAAGATTAATTTGTACGTTCTAGACTAGTTTAGTCTTAGTGCGAAATAGAAACGGTAATTTGTGCAATTGTCGAAATTACAGCTTCAACCATTTCATTGACAGCACATTACATGCACCACCAAGAAGTTTCTGATTATACTCTTGCGCTATTATTAGACGTTCTCTTTTTGAACGAACTTCATGATTATTTATTGGTTTTTGATTAAGTTTAGTAATTGTACTGCAACCACCGTATGATCAACTAATTTTGGTGTTTGAAACTACGGACGAGGTAAACATTGTCGGGAATGGGTTCACACGTATATGCTTGGATAAGTGTATGGTTGTTTCACATCGATAATGGTTGAGTTCTATATTCAGTTTCGGATTTGATTTTTGTTTACCTGATTGTGATTACTACTGCAAATTAGTGAAAAAAAAAACAAAGAAAATACCTTTATTGTTAATGTAAATAAATCCATCCTATTTGCACATACAATTAAGATTAATGAATAATAATTAGGAACAATCACACTTAATTCATGCATTATGAGCAAGCATACAGTATTTCATTAACCTATAGTTGAAAAAAAAAATTGAGTTGTAATTAAAGCCAAATTTTAAAAATTATGGACTTTTACCTCTCACCTTAGATTTCTATTGTTTCGGAAAAATAAATGCTCCAAAGTTATTTCTTTGTCCATGAACTACAACCCAACAAATCCAGTTTCTTGGAAAAGTTACAAAATTTGATTTTGCGAATTTTTATTTATTTCATGACACCTAAAAGTTACAAAATATGTGTAGATAGCACCAGTTACACTGTAAGAATCAAAATTGGCAAAATGTGTTCCGAAATTTCTGATGTTGCTCCAAATACTTCTACTCAATTTACCGTGGCCTAATCATCATCCTCGCTTCTTTAAGACTGTACGCGAAACCATGAAACGCACCCCACTTAATTCCAGACATAGAGCTAATTTTCCTGGGATCAACATGTTTTCCAGTCAGACAGGCGTGATAGCAACCCGTGTACCACCAGCCACCCTCTACAAGCACACTATTTCAAACTGTCCACACAAAATTAACCCATAACCACCAAAAGAGGTAGCACAGCTTCCGGTGTGATCTTTATCGGCAGTACTAAATTTCGCCCGAATTTGATATTTCAAAGAATCTTCAATAATTCCTCTATTTCTTCCCAAAGTTTTGAGCGGATAACTCTCAGCTTCGTTTCCTACCACAAAATCGTCATACAACGCATATACCTTTAACAAGTCCCAGTCAATCATCTCCACCAACAAGTCAACTCGTTTGCTATCTAAACGATAAAAAAGCGATAAGTACTTTTTGAACAAACAAAACTTACTTGTCAGTTCGTAGAGGTGGTCCAAACCTACCCAATGTTCCCCTGACAGATTACCAAAACCTTGCTTATAATCAGTCCAGTTTAGGTAAAAGTTTTGCGACCCGTCAAATCGATTGACGACGGAAGTCCACCCACCGTCATAAGACGACATATCACACCAAACTAGAAAACTTTGCAAGGAAAGCCTCGGCTGTATGCGATAAATCCCAGAAGTGTTAAATCCCCTCTTCTGGACTTCTCTACAGTCTTCTGGTACAGACCTACATTGTTGGATTTCAACAAGAATCTTTTGTTGCGTCTTAGCCAGTTGGTTTTTTACCTCGTCAAAGTCTCCCAGTCCGGCGATCTCGGCTTTCGTTTCGTTAAGCTGAGCTTGCATATTTACCTGCATTAGTTTTTCGTTATCAGAAAGCACAGACTTCATTTCGTCAACGATATAGTTCTTTGTTTCATTTAGTTTCTTTTTGAGATCAGAAGAACAAGCTACTCGTGACTCTCTCAGTTCTCCTATCTCCTGAATAATTTCGTTGCTTGTTTCCATCAGTTGCTCTTTGACGCTCTGACAAACTGACTGGATTTCTGAGGCAAGATCCTCATTTTTAGAAACAGCAAGTTTTGTCGATTCTTCTGAAGCGTCTATTTTAACAAGAATTTCATTTTTCGCTTCGGTTAACTGCCTCCTAAAATTTTCGTCTGTTTTGGGAATAATTTCGTTTTTGATTTCTTCAATAATTTCCTGCTTTATATTTTGGAGATTGCTGAGGGATTCTTTTAATGCGTTGACTACAGAGCGCATTTCTAATTGTGCATGGTCAAGCTCCGACGGGCTTGTGCTCGTAGAAACCACAGAAAACTAATGATAATAACAAATAAGGTTTGTTTGATAAGTATTCACTATGTCTATATTACTGTGAATAATCATAAACTTCTTAAGAATAACACAGTGTTGTCAAGTGATTTCAAATGAATTTCAAAATTATACTTACGTTTTCTGTGCCATTGCTAATCACGAATTCGTTTCTGAGCAGAAATATTAATAATAATAGAATTGTTGCAACCATTTTCAGCGTCGGCAATTATACTACCAAATTTTAATCGAAGATTCCACTTTGTAACCTCGTTGTTGATATGTGTAACCCTTGACCAAATTTTTGATAAGAATTAAAAAGTTATCACGAAATTGAAAACATGCACAAAAATTATGCCAGTGGGTAAACAAATATTGATCACAGTGTTATTAATTTAGCTTGACAAATTTTTAGATCAGGAACATCAAAATAATAATCGTCGTGCTAATGATATACTTCATTGTCCAAGAGTAAAGTTCTCAGTAATACTAGAAAAATAAATAATATTATATAATACATATAGACTGTAGATACATTATATAAAGATTTAGTCCAAAGCTATTTACACAGAACTTCACTATTCCGTGAAGTAAGTCCAGCAAATCTCAATTTTTGAAAATATATACATAAAGTTTCAATTTGTAAAAACAAATAATTTAATTCCTTCTAGGACGAGCGTATCACGCGGAGAACCGCAATTCATATTCATCCGAGACGAGAGAACTAAAAGGGCTTACGAATTCCACTTACGGTCATTGCCGCGATAACATTGAATGGAGTAGTTTCTTATACGAAGAGCGGATCTCACAGAGAGCGACAATTCAATTCCGCCGCGACGAGAGAGCTGCCTTGAGCAAAGCTGCATATTGCGTGAATTAGAGCAATTTCATCCAAACCCTGACGATCATTAATCTCTATATTTGACTTGTACTGGTAGCTTCTTTTTCGAAACTGTCTTAACCAGAAACCTATACAGGCCATTGTTACCAGCGTTCCTGGGCCACATTAGTAGTCAACGCTGGTGGTGAGCTTACAGCCTTGAAGCGGCAAGGCGCTTTCCTTCAAAAATAAGACACCAGGAGTCCAAAGGGGATCCTTTCAATAAAAAAGCACAAGATTTTTTCAAATATTTTTCAAAAAAAAGGCCTACAAGAATTTTTAAATTCTTCTAAAATAAAATACTAGGTACCTGCGAGATTCTTCCGAATTCCCAAAAATGAAAAAAACAGTGCCCTCGAGATTCTTTCTATTTTTTTGTTAATGAAACTCAAAGGACCTCCGAGACTTTTTGAAGTTGTTCAAAGAACCAAAGGCAGGGGCGCAAAAAACACCAGGGTTCCTCAAGATTGTTTCGAATATTTTTAAAATAACAAAATTTAATGCCGCTTTAATTTGGTGGAAATGAATTTCAGGCGAACTGGGACATCGACTTTGACAAAAATAAATGGCGTCGTGAATAAAATTTACTGGAATTTTTCGTTACCCGACCTAAGTGGTTGTAACGTGGTGCTAAGAACATATACATTAAAAAAAACGAAGAAAATACCTTTGTTATTAATCTAAATGGATCCCTGCTGTCTGCACATGCAATTAAGATTAATGAATAATAGGAGTAATTCGGAACAATAATATTTGATTCGTGCGTACACTGTTTCATGAAGCTAAAGCTCAAAAAAAATGCTTGAAATGTAATAATTAGAGCCAACATTATGGCATACAGAAAAAATATAATAGAAAAACTATGGCATTCCAAAATTTGACCACGTAAGGAAATTCTATAAATATTTCAAAGCTTATAAAATAATGGACCCTTATTTTTTTGCATTATTAATCCGCTTTGTATCTGACCTTAAACATCTGCTGCCTCGGAAAAATCTATGTTTTGAAGTTAATTAGACAGAACTTCCTCTGCCCCTAAAGTACAATCCAACAAAACCAGTTTTTTCCGAAAATTATAAAATTGGTTGTAGCGAAATTTTATTTATTTTAAGACACCTAAAAGTTAAAAATATGTGTATATAATACCAGTTACAGTGTAAGAAACAAAATTGGGAAAATGTATTCTTAAAAATCTGGTGTTGTTCCAGATTCAATATACCGTGGTCTAATCATCATCCTCGCTTCTTTAAGACTGTATGAGAAACCACGAAACGCCTCCCAGTTAATTCCAGATCTAGGTTTTGTTTTCCTAGGATCAACATATCTGCTAGTCAGACAGGCTCTATAGCAACCCGTGTACCACCAACCACCCTCTACAAGCACATAATTCAAACTATCCCCATAAAACTAACTCATAATCACCAAAGTAGCTAGCACAGCTGAGTGTGCCACTGTGATCGTTATCGACAGTACTAAATTTCGCATGAATTTGATATTTGAGAGAATCTTCAATAATCCCTCTATGGCTCCCCAATGTTTTGAGTGGATAACTCTCAGCTTCGTTTCCTATTCTGAAATCGTCATACAACGCATAAACCTTATACAAGTCCCAGTCAAGCAGCTCAATCAACAACTCAACTGAGTTGCTATCTAAACGAGGAAAACGTGATATCTACTTTTTGAACAAACAAAACTTACTTGTTAATTCGTAGAGGTGGTCCAAACCTATCCAATGTTCCCCCGATAGATTACCAAAACCTTGCTTGTAATCAGTCCATTTTAGGTAAAAGTTTTGGGAACCATCAAATCGATTGACGACGTAAGTCCACCCACCTCCATAATCAGACAGTTCACACCAAACCAGAAAACTTTGCAAGGAAAGCCTCGGCTGTATACGATAAATCCCAGAAGTGTTATATCCCCTCTTCTGGATTTCTCTACAGTCTTCTGGTACAGACTTACATTGTTCGATTTCAACAAGAATCTCTTGTTGCGTCTTCGCCAGTTGGTTTTTCATTTCGTCAAAATCTCCCAGTCGAGTGATCTCGGCTTTCGTCTCGTTAAGTTGAACTTGCATATTTACCTGCATTCGTTCGATATGTTTTTCGTTATCAGAAAGCACAGACTTCATTTCGTCAATGATGTAGTTCTTCGTTTCGTTCAATTTCTTTTTGAAATCAGAAGAAACTGCTACTCGTGACTCTTTTAGTTCTCCTATGTTCTGAATAATTTCGTTGCTTGTTTTCGTCAGTTGCTCTTTAACACTCTGACAAACTGACTGGATTTCTGAAGCAAGATCCTCCTTTTTATAATCAGTAAGTTTTGTCGATTCTTCTGAAGCGTTTATTTTAACAAGCATTTCATTTTTAGCTTCGGTTAACTGTTCTCTAACGTTTTCTTTTGTTTCAGATACAATTTGTTGTTTTGTTTTTATCAGCTGATTTTCTAGAAGTAACTTCATCGAATCTGTTTGTTCGTTCATTTTGTCAAATATTTCATTTTTGGTTTCTGTTAGTTTCTTTTCAATGTTCTCGATTCGTTTACTCTTTCTTCCAATTCTTTAAACTTAGAGTCTGATTTCATTGTTGAATCTGTTATGGCGTTCATTAATTTGTCCTTTAGCTCTGTTAACTGTCGCCTAAAATTTTCGTCTGTTTTGGAAATAATTTCGTTTTTGATTTCTTCAATAATTCCCTGCTTCATATTTTGTAGATTGCTGAGGGATTCTTTTAATGCGTTGACTACAGAGCGCATTTCTAATTGTGCATGGTCGAACTCCGACGGGGTTGTGCTCGTAGAAACCACAGAAAACTGATAATAATAACAAATAAGATTTGTTTGATAAGTATTCACTGTGTTTATATGTCTGTGAATAATTAGAAACTTCTTAAGAATAGCACAGTGTTGTCAAGTGATTTCAAATGAATTTCAAAATTATACTTACGTTTTCTGTGTCATTACTAATTACGAACTCGTTTCTGAGCAGAAATGTTAATAATAATAGAATTGTCGCAACCATTTTCTGCGTCGGCAATTGTACTACTAAAGTTTTAATCAGCGACTCCACGGTGTAACCTCTTTGGTGATATGTGTAACCCTTGACCAAATTTTTCATAAGAATTAAAGGGTTATCGCGAAATTAAAATCATACACAAAGATTATGCCAGTGTGTAAACAAATATTCATCACAATGTTATTAATTTAGCTTGGCAAATTTTTAGTTTAAAAACATCAAATTAATTATAGTTGTATTAATGATATACTTCATTGTGCAAGAGGAAAGTCTCAGTTATAGTAGAACAATAAATAATATTATTGTTAGTAGTACTAAGTGTTTATTTTTTTACCCTACGGGCTTAAAAGATTCTTGATTTACAACACTACAGTCTTTCATAATATCCTTGTCTACCCTTGTGATGTTCTTTCCCTGTTTCCTTTTTTTTTCCTTCCAGCATTCATACAATATCCTACATCCCTCTCTTTTCTTCAACCTTTCATCATACTTTACAGCTCTTTTCCCAGTATATACTCTTAATTTCTCTCGTTTACATTCTTCTCTTACTATATAACCTGGCGTCTCTTTCCGTAGCCCTAACATCCACCTCAAATATTTTTCTTGTACTGCTTCCATCTCTACATATTCCTTCCATCCGCATATCTCCACTCCATACATTAATACACTCCTAACTAAACTATCAAACATTTTCATCCTTCTTCTTACGTCATGTTCAAATATTCTCTCACCTATACTCCACACCATTCCCATTATCTGCATTGCTTTGATCCTTCTTTCTCTTATGTGTGCTTTTACCGTGTTAGTTGTTGTAAACTTAAATCCTAAATATTTAAACTCCTTTACTGTGTCTATGATTCGATCTTCCCAACGCCACACTTTTTCCTCCCCTTTTCTTCCTTTTTTTCTAAACACCATCATTTTTGTTTTTTATACATTTACCTCCAGTTTATTTCTTTTAAAGTATCTTTGCAGATTTTTTTTCATCTCATTCATTCCACATTCATCCTTCGCCAATATTACCAAATCATATGCAAATGCCAAACACCATACCTTTTCTCTCCCCACCACAATTCCTCCCGCTTGTACTCCTCTAAACATTTCCTCGATATCGCTTATGTAACAAGCAAACAAACTGGGACTTAATGGGCATCCCTGTCGCAGTCCTTTCGTCGTCCAAAACATTTCACTTTCTATCTCTCCCACTCTCACACTAGTCACTGTCTCTTTATAAATCTCTCTTGCTGCTGCAATTAACTTTTTACTCAGTCCTCTTCTCTACATGCATTCCCACAAACACTCTTTGTCCACCGTATTAAACGCGGCTCTTAGGTCTACAAACAGTGCATATACCCGACCTCCTCCCTTTAGCAACTCTTTTTCTGTTAGATAATGTAGGATATATACATTGTCCATAGTCCCTCTACCTCTTCTAAATCCCGCTTGACTTTGGGGTAATATACTCTATTCGTTCATCTCTGTCATCAACCTTTCATTTAACACCACTGCGTACAGTTTATATGCCGTATTTAGGAGAGTTATTCCCCGATAATCCTCTACTTTTTCTTTATTACCTTTTGTATGAATTGGGTATATTTGCCCTACTCTCCATTCCCTGGAAAAACCTTTACCCGTCCACACATCATTCATTAACTCGCTCAATCTTTCAAATATCTCATCCGTCCCAAATATCCACACTTCGTTTACCAACCCATCCCTCCCCGGTGCTTTTCCTCTTTTCAGTCTTCCTACTTGTTTTCCTACTTCCTCTACTCGAATCTCTGCCTCCCTTTCTCTACCACCAATCCCGGTTTTACTATCTTCTCTCTTCCTTTCCATTCAACAGTTCGATAAAATGTTTCTTCCACTGTATTATAGGTATGTCTTCATTAATCGTGATTTTCTTCTTCCATTTTTTATTTATAATTTATATACTGCCATGCCTTTTGCTCAGTTCTTATGGCTTCAATTTTTTCTTCTTCTTCTTGCTGTATCTCTTCTTTCTTTTCTTTGCATCGTTTTCTATAATTATTTTTTGCTTGCTAGTACTCTTCTTTTATACCTTTCCCCTTTTTCCACCTTCGTAAAAATTTCATTGCTTCTATTGTTAAATCTCTGCATCTGCTATCCCACCATCTGTTTCTCTTTTCTAAATTTCTCGTTACAAATTCTTTTCTTATGGCTGCTTTTTCAATTTCTCTTTTTAATTCTTCCATTTTGTTTTCAGTTCCTTTTTCTTTAAATTCCACTTCCAACATTTTTTTTTATAATGCTCAATTCCTTTTCCATTCCATACTCATATCTTCATCTCTTTTCCTACTTCCTTACTTAAGTATCCGGTCCCTCTACTTATGCCACTTTTCTAGTGGCATGTGATCGGAGTCCACTCTTTCTCCTATTTTGAATGTTTCTACCTCTTCTTCTGCTAATCCGTTTACTATTACGTAGTCTATTACCGATTCCCCTCTTTTACCTATCCAGGTAAATTCCCCCTCCTCGTCCACTTCCTTCACCCCATTCAAGACTTCCCAAGCTCTTTTATCAATTAATAAAATCAATAAAAATGCTCCAGTTAAGTCCAATATTACTAATACTACCAGTAAAACGAGGGTAATGAAGACCTTGATAATTGGTACTTCTCAAGTCACCAATGAAAATGGAGATGCTCTGGAACATCGTAGTAATGAGTTTGTTGCTGTCACTAGGCGACGAAAAAGGGACATTCATGTCACAAGAGTAAATCCTGGGGTTAATATTAGTAAGATTGAAGATTACATTAGGAATAAATTACAGTGTGTTTGCAGCGCAAATGACAATATGGACAATATTCAATCCTTTGAACTTAAACAATTAAATTCTAAGTTCCCTGATAAATACAGTTCCTTTAAATTATTATCAATCGATTTCTCATTAATTGAAAAAGTTTTGGATCCATCTTTTTTGCCAATCGGTATTGCTGTTCGTAAATATTTTAGTCCTCGTAGTGTACGAAGACAATCAAATTTTCAAAAAACTCCAGATCATCAAACTCAGAGTTAACTATTTATTATCAGAATGTTAGAGGGTTGAGAACTAAAATCAGTGATTTATATTCTAATGTGTTGTGCGAGAACTATCCGATAATTTCATTAACAGAAACTTGGCTTAATGACACATTTTTTAATGGGGAAATTATAGATGATAGATATGTTGTTTACAGAAAGGATAGATCCTTTTTAGAGACGAATAAAGAACGTGGTGGTGGTGTAATGATAGCTGTTATAAAGAATATTCCTTCTATTTACTTTACTGCAAATTGATACTCTTCAAAGAGAAGAAGTTTGGATACTAATCTCATTTAATGGCATTCAAATTATAATTGGAACTGTGTATTTTCCTCCTAATTCACCCTTAGCTGTGTATTCTGACCATATATCTTTGGTTGATTTTTTAATTGCTGATTATCCTGAAACTACAGTATGTATTGTTGGTGATTACAATTTGCCTGGATTGAGCTGGAAAAGTGATACTAATTGTAATTATTTAATACCTGTTAATGTTGTTTCAATGATTGAAAATTAATTTGTGACAATTTCGCTGTGGGTGGTCTTTTTCAATACAACTTTATATTGAATGGAAATGATGTAATTTTGGATTTAAGCTTTAGTAATACTGAACTTATCATTGAAGAATGTTTATCCTTATTACCGAAAGATATAAATCATCCTGCCTTTATTATTACAATTAGTGACATACTCTTGCCTTTACTAGATCATACTATATACACATCTTATTTGGATTTTAAGAAAGCGTCATTTGATGTAATTAATACCTACCTGGAGCAAATTGATTGGTTTACCATGGAAAATTTTTCTCATCTTGATGATTGTATGTATTATTTTTATTCTCACATAAATTCTCTTATAACTCGTTTTGTTCCTATTGTTGTTAAAAAAACTCAGAACAACTTTCCTTATTGGGTTGATAACCATACAAGATCTCTTATTGTGAAAAAAAAGAACCTCATAGGAATTTTAAGGTAACTGAATTATATTCAGATTACGTAAAGTTTTGTGATCTTAGACGTACATGTAAGTTGGCTATGAACTTGTGTAGGAAAAATCATATTCGAAGTGTTGAGCAGAATATTATTGTTAATAGTAATGGTTTTTGGTCATTTGTCAAGAAATCAAAATCTAATACAGTGGGGTTTCCCTGTTCTATGTTCTTAGGTGATATCATAGCTGATTCTTCTAAATCCATTGCAGATTTGTTTGCTACTTATTTTCAAACTGTATATACGGTAGCTGATACTGATGTTAATATGAGTTCATCAAATTGGAAAGACAATCTTGTTGATATTAATTCATTTGAAATATCCACCGACCTTGTTTTGTCTAAATTACTTTCCTTAGATTCTTCTCTTAAAATAGGTCCAGATGGTATTCCATCACTATTTTTAAAACAATGTGCTCACAATTTATGTTTTCCCCTACAAATTTTATATAAAAGATCTTTACAATTATCCAAAGTTCCTACACTATGGAAAATTTCTTATGTTACACCTATTTATAAGAAAGGTCATCGTAGTGATATTTCAAACTATAGACCTATTAGTATTGGTTCACCTATAGCCAAAATATTTGATTCAATTACATGTGACATTTTGTCTTTCCATGTAAAAAATATCATCCTAGATGAACAGCATGGTTTCTTTAAAGGGTGTTCGACAACTTCTAATTTAATGATATTTACTAATTATATAGTTAATAATATGGAAAATGGTTACGATACTGATTGTATTTACACTGATTTGGCAAAAGCTTTTGATAGGGTGAATATTCGTATTCTACTATTAAAATTGGCTAAGATTGGAATTGGTGATCCTTTACTATCATGGATAGATTCATATCTAAGTAATCGAAGGCAATTTGTAATTATAAATGGGTTTAAATCAAAATGTATAATTCCATCTTCTGGTGTTCCGCAAGGTCCCCATTTAGGGCCTTTGCTTTTCTCTCTGTTTATAAATGATATCAA